TGAGCCATCTGTCTTAGTTTTTGATGCAATTCCAATATTATCAAAGACAAGATAAAATCATCTTCAAAGTCCTTCCCAGATACACAGTTTTATGTCTTTTTTTCTAAACATCAGCATCCACTGTTTTGTAACCAGAAAACATTAAAAACTAGAAACTATTAGAAACTAGAAAGTTGTGAAAACTCACAAAGCTGTATTTTTCAATCCTGAAACTTATTTATAAAAATTCTCTTGGAGTACATTTAGCCATAAAAATGGTATCACTAAGTAGCTTAACTGCCAATCTCTCTCACAAGCAAACAGAGAAAAATCTAGCTCTTCTGAGAAATTGTTTTCCTCACTCTGATCAGGTCACTTAACCTGTCAGAGCACTAGTCTCATTTTTCGTATGTGGATGCTAATATCTCTATCATCTTAGGATTTGCAAGGCAAAATATGTAAGATGTCAAGTAATTAATATTGAGCCTAAATATTAACATTACTTAGAATTTTAAACAATAATGAAGTAGTTTTTTAATTTGTCAAAAGGAATTATGAGTTATAAAAAAGGTTAGAAAACACTGATCTAATATAGTCATAGAATAAATAATGTAAACACTAAAATTTCTACCCCCAAAATCTTATCTGAATATCATTCAAAATAACCTACCTGCTCTCTACTTTTAGAAACTCATTATATGGTTTTGAAACCATAAGATTTGGAGAAAAACAGGCTCCAAAATAAAACCTCTATCACAAGTCACCTTACATCACTGTAGTAACAGCTATTTGTTCTGGCCGACCCTCTCTCCTTCTAGGGTTCAGCAATCCTTTTAGGAGATTGCTCCTCTTTCTGCCTCTTCTAATGTCTTTCTACTCACATAGTTGAAACAGAAGATGCCATCTCTCTGGGCAGTGACTGGCCAGAAATTGGCTCCTGGTCGAAGCTTAGCCAGTCAAAGTACCCCACCACACAATCACAGAGATTAATTCAAGAATGAGCCTGTAACCGATGCCAAAGCAGTCAGAATCTTTATCTAGGATGCCTTTATTTGGAACTGATAAAAAGCTAGCATTCTAGGTAGCAAGCCCTGGCTCCTGTCACCTCCTGTCATACTTAATTTTATGGGCTAATTTGGCTAGGCCACAGTGCCCAGATATTTGGACAAACACAACCCTAGATGTTACTGTGAAGGTATTTTTTAGGTGAGATGAACATTTAAATCAGTAGACTTGAGTAAAGCAGATTACCCTTAATAATGTAAGTAGACCACATCCAATCACTTGAAGGCATTAAGAGAAAGATGAGGTCCCCCAAGGAATAAGGAATTCTATCTCAGATTACCTTTAAACTTGAGATGCAACATCAACTCTTCACTGGGCCTCCAGCCTGCCAGCCTGTCCTATAGATGTCAGACTTGCCAGCTCCCACAACCTTAAAAATTTCTTAAAATAAATCTCTGTCTCCCTCTCTCTCTACATATATACACACACACACATATATACACATATATATACACACACACATATACATATATGCACACATCCTATTTGTTCTCTAACCCTCCTTCCCACCCACCTATACCTTTACTCTTCCAATTATATGGGGTCATCAAATTCTTCTTTTTGCCTAAACCAGCTCCAGTTAGGTAGGTCATTTCATCTTTTTTAAGCCTCCTTTTTCTTCTCTTCAA